AGGCCTTGGAGTGCTGGAGTGTTCCAGACAGGCCAGCCTCATTCTCTTCGCGCTTACCGCCAAGAGAATAATGGGTTAGGGGAAAGTGACATCCGAAGCGGCTGCAAATGGCCGGAAACAGTCCGTGTGTTGACAGTAGTTCGAGCGGCTATACAGTTTAGGAGAGCAGAGGACAGACCCGCTGAGGGGTGCTGGAGCTGAAGAAGACTGTAAATGCTCACCTTAGAGCCACAACGGCTTGGGAGGCCATGGAATTTGATTCGCACGGAGAATGAAGACGGTAGAGATGGCAAGATCCCTGATACCCTGGTTGTGGGAGGAAAGACGAGGGTGCCACTGTATCCAGATTAGGCGTGGACACACTTAGACGGTGCAGAAAGGGGTGCCTGGCATGTTCTATTTGGCTGTTCAGTGGAGAACTGGGGGAAGGCTGCAGCCCTTCCCCCCTCCCACAGCAAGCTTGAGAGTTTAAGGAAGGAGCCATCTCAGTGAGTAACTGTAACACAGGGTAAAGGGATGAGCTCCTCTTAACCTTCTAACAGTTGCAAAGAACAGACCCGATTTGGATCAGCATGCATAAGAAAAAAAATCTTGGGTCCCACAGCCCTCAAAGGAATGGCTTCAGGCACAGCTAGGTCCAGCTGCTAATCTGGCATCTTAGTGGCTTGAGGCTCTGCCATGCCCATATTGATTTTGTTCTATTGTGTGGTGACAGAAACTACTATGTCAGAAATCTCAGCTAAAGTGGAGGTCTCTTCCTCTGTTGTTCCAGCCTGAAGTGGCCGGATTGAGTTTCTGGGGTCTACATGACAATGGCTAAGGAAGACATACATTCCCTAGGGTTAATGGTACTGGCCCCTCATGGAGAGGCCAGGGTTCTCCTGAACTATTGGGGAAGGAGGAGGGGGTATGGATGGGATCAGCACGCACCAAATGGCCCACCACAGTGTCCCCAGCAGGAAGAGACCCTCACAAGAGAGCGAGTGTCATGCCAGCTCAGAGTCAGGACAACTTCCAAGAGAAATAGCCTCTGCTGCCCTTGGACTTTTTTTTTCACCTTCTCAGCAGTTCCTTATATTAGCTGTGGCTGGACTTGGGATGGAGATTGGTGATAGAGCTTTTGCCTAGCATGCATAGAGCTCCAACCTCAGCTCCTCTGAAGAAAGGGGACGTGAGGAGAGCGATGGTTCAGCAGTTAAGTTTCTTGCTACTGAACCTGATGGCCTGACTTCATTCTCCGAGACTCACATGGTACACAGAGAGAGCCGACTCCTGAAGGTTGTCCACAAGCATGCACTGGTACACTTGTGCACACCATAAATTCAATAAGTAAAATGAACATTTTAAGATAAGGGTAATTTTTTAATGAAATGAAAGAAACAGATGTGTTAACATGTTATACATGGGAAACCTGAGCTGAGAAATTGAGCAACTGGTTCATCATGATGGGCATTCCCTGGGGGCAAAAAAAATCTCAGTCACTAGGATGGGCATGGTGGTGCTTGCCTGTAATCCCACAGTGAGTAGGAGGCAGAGACAGGGGGATAGAGGTAAATTCAAGGCCAGCATGGCTGGGGGAGGGGAGCAGAGGGTCGAGCGGGGCATAGACACCTTGTCTGATTTGCTCATCACTGAGTCCAGAGACACTGGTTCATTTATGCTGTGGTTACTCAATAAGCGTTTTTCTGTTGGATGGATAGATGGGTGGAAGGGTAGATGGTGGGTGGCAAAAGGAGGGAAGGAGAGAGGACTGGGCCATGTAACCAGTCTCCTGGCCTGTGACTTCCTCAACAGTGTCCTGTCTGATGGCATCCCATGTCCCAGCAGGTGCCACCATGCCAGTGAAGAAGTACTTGCTGAAGTGCCTGCACCGGCTGCAGAAGGGCCCGGGCTACACCTACAAGGAGCTTCTCGTGTGGTACTGTAACAACACCAACACACACGGCCCCAAACGCATCATCTGCGAGGGCCCCAAAAAGAAGGCCATGTGGTTCCTGCTCACGCTGCTCTTCGCCTGCCTGGTGTGCTGGCAATGGGGCGTCTTCATCCAGACCTACCTGAGCTGGGAGGTCAGCGTCTCCCTCTCCATGGGCTTTAAGACCATGAACTTCCCGGCGGTCACCGTCTGCAATTCCAGCCCCTTCCAGTAGGTGGTCCCCGGAGCAGAGCCGGCTCAACTCGTCCCTTTTTTTCTTTCCTCCTTTCTTTCCCATTTCTCCTTTCTCTCTGTAGTCTGTTTTGTTGCTTCTCTTTTCTTTCCCTTTTTTCTTCCACTTTTTGCAACATATAAGATTTTTTAAAAAAATGTAAGCTTCCTCCACTTAGAGAGAGTCACAGTGTATCTAGATCTAAGTAACTTTGGAGTGGAACAAAGGTCAACCTCTGGTGTGTGTCTAAGGCACTGTCCATCTCCTTTTTAAAATAGTTTATTTAGCCACCCCTCAGTCCCTCGTCTCCAGCCTCTCCCCAGCTCTTTATCCTCCCAACTTCATTCTCTCTCTCTCTCTCTCTCTCTCCCTCTCCCT